TCATCCAGCTCTACACCTTGTTATCTCAGATTCTCCAGCATCTGCAGCTCCTACTATCTCTACCACCACTTTGCGTTTGGCAGTATTTGCTGTAACCATCCCCTTTCCTTGACTAGGTCTAACGGCCTGCTTGGTTTACACTGGGAAAGGAAATGCACTAGTGAGTCTCAGCAAGAGGAGGCTTTCATCTCAAACAAGGTGCAGTTTGTTGAATGATAGCCATCTTCATCTTCATAGCAGCCATCTTTGTACCAGGCACATAAGAAGATGGTTGTGATTATTGGAAGTTAGTCACCTCAGCTCCAGGACATCTCTGCAAGAGTTCCTCAGGGTAATATCCTAGGCCCAACACCTTCAGCTGCTTCATCAATGACCTTCCCTCCATCATACAGTCAGAGTGGGCATGTTCACTGTTTTTTTTTGCAAAATTCACGACTCATCTGATACTAAAGCAGTCCATGTCCAAAGGTAGCAAAACCTCGACACCATCCAGGGTTGGACTGAAATGTGGCATGCAAATGTAACATGCAGAAATGTAACATTCAGGGTACATATTTAATTCTACACAGGAAGAGGAGCTAGGCTTATTGCAAGGTTTTCAACAGGTTGCTCAGAGTAGTTTGGGGTCATTGAAGAAGAGTGTGATGGTTACAGACCATTGAGACCGTCAGTGAATAAGGATGTGAAAGACAAAAGTAGACTCCATGTTAGATTGGCTGCAGTTACCCATTAATGCTGGGACAGGACTTCAGATAAAGAGATTCTATGCAGGGATCTCCATGTGAATTCAAGAGCAATCTGATGGCTTTGTGCTGTTAGCATTTCAGGAGACGTTCTATGAAATGAGGCAGGGACAATCATTAACATTTGGGGAGAACTGCTGACAATTTTAACGCTTTTGCACTTTGATGTGTATTGTGGGGTGTTCAAACACTGTTTATTACCTATATTTGCCACATGTTAATTCTGGGAGTCCGAAATAAGTTGTTCGTCTATTTTTGATTGCATTATTCTTCTAATGCTGTTTGGTCAAGTTTACAGAGTGGTTTGCATGAAAGCAAAGATGATCATCAAAATGGCCACCCGCACATGCGTAAATTGGCCTGGAGACTTCATTTACCGGTGACAGATGTCCCTTAGTGAGAATGAATTGCATAGGTGCGGCTGAAGTCACTACATTCCATGCGTTATAATGTCACACCGGTCAAAGTTCCAGAAGCCGCAGCGAAGGCCTGGAAAAGGGGCAAAGGCTGGGAGCATTGGCCATTTAACTAGGCAGCACCTGATGGTGGACAAGACAGAGATAGCAGTTCCGGGCTGAATTTGGATTTGGCAAGAGTACTGACAGCAGAGACTTTATCTCCACTTCACTACACAACATGTCCGAAGACTGCTCATAGGACTATCCCTCCAGTTGAAAGACAACTACATCCATCACTTGACAGCAACATAGTACTGAGAGATGAGAATCTCTACAGCTGTGCCCTCCTTGAATTACCTGGAGGTGACATTCCTAAAATTACAGCTTAAAGTTTATTTCTCGTTTGTTCAAAATCATGGAGTCTTGTGGCTTTATTCTCTTAGCAAGTGTTCTGGGTCTTGCACTTTCTCCACTTTAAAAGTTATTTACTCTTAACCTGATAAAAACATTTCAACAAAATAGGGGAAGTAGGCCATTCAGCCCTTCGAATGTACTCCACCATTCAATATTATTATGGCTGATCATCCAATTCAGCATCCTGTTCCTGCTTTCTCCCACACTGTTTGATTTTTTTAGCCTGAAGAACTATGTCTAACTCTTTCCTGAAGACATTCAATGGCTTAGCCTCAACCATTTTGTATGACAAAGAATTCCACAGTCTCACCACTCACTGGGTGAAGAAATTTCTCCTCATCTCCATCCTAAATAGCCTACTCTACGTCGTTAAACTGTGACCCCTGGTTCTGGAATCCCCAGTCATCAGGAACATTCTTCTAGCATGTATCCTGGTCTCGTCCTGTCAAAGATTAATCAATGAGCTCGAGTAGGTTGTATTGTTAATTCTTTTTCTCCATGTTTGCATTTTCTCACAGACTTTGTGGGTTTGTCATCTGAATTTTCTTCAGTGATGATAGGACTATTTTCCAGACCTGACCTTCCTGCACAATCACAGATTTCACAATGAGGTATGAAATTTTCAATCTTTCTTGAGACTTCTGGGCACCACTTAGCCATTCCCTAATGTTTCCAGTGTGTCCTTTCCAGAACATGTCCCTAATCTTTTGTTGTACACTACTAAGTTCTCAACAATTGTGAAATGTTATCGGTGCTCAAAGTATAGGTTCTCAACCAACTTGCCAGACCTTCTACACAATATCAGTAAATGGTAGCACATTCACTGTCAGTCATTTTTTCTGGTCAAATGTGATTGAGCCTTGAATTCTGCTTGCTAAGCACTGTTTCTTCTCAGCCACATGAAACTTGTTTTTTAAGTCAACATTGCTCATCTCAAGATCCCTTCGTCTTTTTTGGGTTCTGCCATGAGTCTTGGAACCGTAATGAAATCTTTGATTATTTGCCCCTTGACCAGTTGTTCAAGGACTGTTTTCTCCTGGACCAGTTGTTTTCTGACTGGCTTATTTCTGGACAGATGTGGCATATGCTCGACTCTCTTGACCTGATCACTATACTTAGTAACCACTTGAACTTTTTCTGCTTTAAAAAGGTTGAAGCCAAAATAAAACCTGCATGCCCATAGTTAGATTTCAAGATTATGAATTATGAATATATTCTCGACCATCTTACACGTTTTAATGTTGCAGTGTTACCAGTAGTAAATCTTTAATCTGGAGGACTGTTCCAGGTGGATATTGAAAACACGTCTGCAAGCTGTAAATTTTGTTTCTTTACCAATGGTACACAATTTGATAAGACAGTGACACTCATCTCATCAGGCCTAAAAGTAAGACAATGTTGTTTGACATAAACAGGTTCTACCAAAAACAAGTTGGCTGGATGACCAATTTCCTCTGCATTGAGTATCCCTTCCAGTGCCAGTGGCTGTCCTAGGTGAACATTTTTGAATATGTAGCCACCTGACTTTTGGCTGCCTCGTAACTGTGTCTTACTTTGCCACATCTTCTGGAAGTGAGCAAAAGCTTTTCAGATATAGAATTCTCTTTTAATAACTGGACACTGCTTTTGCCTGTGAAGTTTCTTGTTCCAGAGTGCTAACGCTGACTCTTAGTACCTGTTGTCTTCCCGACTCTTTGTTGACTTGTCACATGTATCCTTATGGTTGTAATACTTGAATGGATTCTGTTGCACTCCAGTGATAACATCATCTTTCTCCTCTTAATATATTTATGTTATTCTTTCTGCTTCTAGCCCAATCTGAGTAGGTTCCTCTAAAATCAAATCTTCTCTGGAGTCTAATAAAACTGACAGACTCATCAGAAGTTCCAACTACAATTCTGTCTGCTATTAGTTCTGATTTCAAAGTTCGTACTCTCAGTTATCCTCTAATCCATAGAGATCTTAATTCAGTTATTCACTGATCCACCTAATGCTAATCTCTTTCAAGAATTTCATTTGTGCTCAGATTAAAGTCTAAAGTTATAGAGCTTCAACAAAAGTAGCTGTGCCTTCCTTTATGATTTAATGAGCTATGATGTCATCAATTTAAGTCCTTTCTAATACAATGGTGCATTTACTTGCTCAGCTTGTGATTTACTGGCTTGCTTGATTTCTACTCTATTACTACTATCACGTTATATGTGCCATTATACCAACCACCATTAACATTTGGTTGGGATAGTTTGTTGTCACCATCTTTGACTGGGTCTAAGGGACTACTCAGTTTACAGTGGTATACAAAATCCTTAAGAAAGCCTTAATGAAAAGGGGCTTTTGTCCTAAGCATTTCTGAAGCAGGATCCCAACCTGAAACGTCAACTTTCCTGCTCTTCTGATGCTGCCTGGCCTGCTGTGCTCCTCCAACTTCACACTATGTTATCTCTGACTCCCAGCATTTGCAGTTCTTGCTATCTCACAGTTCATTGTATGATACCATTCATGTACAAATTATACTAGTCAGGTCGACATTGTTCTTAAGACAATTGGGAGATCTGTGGATAAGATCTTCCCCTTACAAGTTCCTAAGATGTTTTGCATTTTTCCACCGAAGACCTAATGACATCATCCAAT